TTATTCCATCTTCTTCTACTTCTCTAAATGCTTGATACCATTCTTCTATGGTTAATTCTCTTTCTTTTTCTAGTTCCTCTTGTATATTTTCTTCAGAATCATTTAGAAATTCTTGCATTTTTATCATGTTTTCTTCTAGTTGTCTTTTGAATATATCTTTTTTAAAGGATTTTTTCAAAGAAATCCCTAGTATCATGATGTGTACAACCCTGAATTTTATCTTTAATTTTACTAAGAGCTTTTCCAAAAGGTTCAATTCATTCCACCTTTGAGCATCCAATAATATTTTGTCATTAATTTCTTGTATTTTATCAATTTTTCCTTTTGTAGTGTCAGTTATTATGTGTTCGCATTCTGGTCTTGCATTTTCTATTACTCCTTTGACACCATGCCCTAAGGCTAGAAGTATTTGTTGGTTCTTTTCCATAGTTTGTTTTGTCATTTTCCTTTTTTCTCTTGAAGTTATTACTGTTGTCCTGAAATTTGTTTTTCTCTTGTCCTTTTTATACCTTTTGTGGTATGAAATCCTTTAATTAATTTTTCTTTCAATTTCAATATATTTCGAGTTATACCATTCCTCTTCTTTTTCTGATACTTTCTTTTGATAATAATTCTTAAAAAGTATACTATTGTTTCTTTTTTCTATTAATTCTGCCAGTTCCTTTTCAATATCTGTCATAATGTCCATTTCTTCTTTTATTCTTTCTCTTAATTCTTTTAATTTTTGTAATTTTAAAGTTATTTTTATCTTTTTGTCTAAACCATAAATTTTCATCATTTGGATTTCCTCAATAGTTGTCATTTTTTCATTTTTTTTATTTTAAGATTTTCTCTTTCCTCCTTTTATACTTTCTGTTAAATGGTCAATTTGTTGTCGTTTATAAAGTTCAACTGTTTGACTTAATTCATCACTTAGGAGTTGGTGTATTTCTTTTACCTTTTCTTTATTTTCTTTTAATTGGTTATTAATTGCATCTGACTTTACTCCTATCTGTATTACCTCCTCTAGTGCAATTATATGCATTCCTTCAATACTTATTCTTGCACTAATGAAATATTTTGTAGTTGTATCAGATTGATTCCATTGTGAAATGAGATTCAATATATTTTTACAAAGTATTTGCATTTCCTCAAAGATGTTATCAAATTCTTGTGTTTTATTATTATACCTTTTTCTTAAACCCTTTACTTGTTCATGGATGTAAATTCCATTTTCTAATATTCGTTCAAAGTTATTTTGATTAATCATGGTTGTTGATTGAATGTCTAGCTACGAATTCCTGATTCTTTTTATACTTTTTCATTACCGTGGTCTCTTCGGAATTTGGGTTAAAATAGATGAGTCATACAGTCAACAAAAAGAGATTTTTTTTTTTTTTTTTTTTTTTTTTGTATCAGTACAAAGCTCTATTAGAGATGTTATGACATTGAGTGTTTTAATGAAATAAATATGTTCCTAAACCATTAACTATATTGTTAGTGATTTTTTCGGCTATCTGTTGAGTCATACTATTAGTCAATATTTTATCTATGTTGGCTTCCACATATGTCATTATAAAATCTGTTAGATATTCAGTGAACTTCCCTTTTAATTGTGATATTATAAATTCACAGATTAT